ATGACACTGGACCAACGTCATTTGCCAACATCGGCCTAACGTTCCTATTGACTTTGGGCAAACAATGTCACATCCACTGGGCCAATGTTGGCGTAACGTTGGGCCAATATCTGTAGAAATAAGACTCTTCACTGGACCAACGTTGGCACAACATATCGGGCTAACGTTGGGCCGATGAGCAAACTTAAATTGGGTCAATGTTATTTGCCAACATTGGTCCGATGTAACCGATTACATTGGCCCAATGTTAGCATGCTATCTGGGATACAATGTTGACCCAACAGCACCTGGCCTCTGCACTTCCCCATGTCTGCTTTACGCAGATTTGTACATGATATCGTTTAAAAACTAAACGTAAATACAGCTGTGCCGGGGCAAACATATTATAAATACTTACAAAGTGGATGCAGATATGTAAGGTATCAGTCTCATTATGCTCGCTCGTGTCAGATTAAAAATGGCGAGGATATTACAAGCAGCCCGGTTGTTGTCTACCCATGATGCTCAGTCAGATTCATGGTATATTGGGCCAACGTTGGGCCGATGCCAAACACATATTTTCTCTCATGATAATAATTTTATGATATAATGCAACAGTTAGCCCAACATTAGCGCACCATTATACATAACCAGCTATCGATATTCCATGTTGGGCTATTGTTGGCCAAAAAAAAGGTAACTCAACATAGATAATACAACCATAATGTAAGAATTGGACAACGATGTTCTGCTATCTGGTTTATTACAAATAAATCAGCATAAACATGATTCAAAAAATAGAATAAAACACTCTTTGGTGCTGTGATCACTTACGTGCAAAGTTAAAATGTTGAAAATATCATATCTAAACAAGAGCAGTCATCCAATGATAAGCATGGACATAGAAAGTCCTCTTAATTATTTCAGAATGTGCCAACGTTGTCCAAACATAAAGTTCAGCAGCTAATTTTAAATTTGACACCATCAATAAGTTGGCAGTATAATAATTGGGCCTTCGTTGGCCCTATATAAATATCCCATCTTTTAAACACCTAAACAAAATAACACTTGTGCGAATTACAAACATTGTGCCAACATTGGGCCAACATACTACTACCAGCTTGATAGGACACGTTCTCTAAGGGTGTATTACTAACAATGGGCTAACGTTGGGCCAACATATTACTACCAACTTGATAAGACGCATTCTTTAAGGGTGTATTACAAACATCGGGCCAACGTTGGGCCAACATACTACAACCAACTTGTAATATACCCAAACACAAGTACTCTGAGACTCCCCCCAAAAACTGGGAATTTCTATGGCAATTAATTGTGCTCCTTTCTGAGCCATGTTTTTATATCCGTGTAAAGCAGATTTATTCATAAATATTTACATTTTTGATGTCTTTGTCCGAGATAAAATTACAAATAGTCAATGTACTTTATTTCCTCATCAATGCACTGCTTCATCGATAGGCGCGGCTAAAAAAATTCATGTGCAGGGCGGGACAAATAGAGAAAAAAAGCAGGGCTTGAAGCACGTGGATTGGCGGAATGAAGAGCATGTAAATGTAAAGAATAACTGTCCGCAGAGGATCGTGATTTAGGTAGTAATACATTTAATCTACCTTTATCATCCTTAATTGCTTATAATAATCATGTATTAAGTTTGCCTACTTAATACCAAGGATCACATGTAGAAGATTTGTTAAAATGTTATGCAAGTTAATTATAGACAATTGACAAAAACATTACTTTATTTCCATTCAAGAGCCTACAGAGAGGTATCAAAAATATACCATCGTAGAAATAAAAAAATTGATAAGAATCATAGAATAAAACTCTATAATCTAAAATACACACAGAGCAAGTTGTTGTTGCTTTAAAATATTGCATAAGATTCGAGAGAACTATTTACAAACTTAAGTAAATTATCAATATTTTTTCAAAGGTAATGAACCAGAAATATTTCAAACTGATAACTATCTGAACTAGAAAAAATTACGTTATGTTTCTATGCTTCGATATTTTCCTTATAGAGTGAACAATCTATAAGAAAGTTGATTCCCTCTCGGCTGTATTGAGACTATTCCTTGGCCTCTTTCTGCCCTTCCCCCTCCTCTGCCTGACCAGACTTCAATGTGGAGAGGAGCACCTCATACCTCTTGGCTTTGTGTTCTTTCCCAGCATAACCAAAATAAGCACATCCATCCGTTGTGTGAACTTTACATGGAATAAGACTCCCCGCGTAGTGGACTCGACCCACGTACAGCCCCTCATCCACCCTTAGAGCGTTATGAGGGACGTTTCCGTTGGAGGCGCGCTCCCAGCTATACATCCATTTATTAGAATTCTTATTGCACAGATGGTAAAAACTTGGGCAAATCCTTTCTTCACCATCGTACGGAATACAGGCTCCACTATTAAAATGCATCCCGAATTTTCCAGGTGTAAAGACGCCACCAATGTAGGCGCAGACTACGTAAAGTGTTTTGCCGTCTGCTTCTTGTCCGCCTGTAAATACGTCGTTTGGCAACCAGCTATATGTTTTATACCAGCGGCCGCTGTAAAGTACAATAAAATAGATAAATTTGGCAAAAGTCATTATCTTTAATTAAAATATTTATGTACATATTTGACTTAGTACTCACTCTATGCAATCATCTCTATTCAGACCGTCACTCTGCATTTCAATAAGAATATTAATCTAAAGTACTTTGTCATAAGGAAATGCAGCTAAATTCATGTATATACACACGAAATTTTATAAGCACGATTCAGGACCAACATCCGTTTGTTATAACCTATGTTGTAGTAGTGCAAATTTATGAAAATGTGTCCTGTTTTGCAGTTTTCTGAATTCACAAACATTGGTTAACTTGCATCAGCTTTTAATAATAAAAGAAATAATAATGAATTATTCAAACCATGGGAAATTCTTTAAGTCATATCTTTTACACATAGTTATTACTTTTTTTAACAATTATTTTACATATGTATCAAATTTAAAATTTTAACACAAAACCTGTTGAAAAGTAATCACATTTTTTAGTAAATATCAAAACGATAGCATTCTCAATATGTGCGAAATTATATTAGATATGGGCCTTAATCAAATTGAAAACAAATGAGATTCTACTTTGATGTCTGTTGCAAAATTGCCATTAACTATTTCAAGGACAGAGAAAAAGAGCAGTAATATTTATTAACTTCTGTTGTCAATATTTATAATATTATATTAACAAGCTCGTAATGATGCAAACTTATACTGTCGTCCTGTACAAAATTGTTTTCTTAAATAACACTAAACATTTGATTGTACAGACTCTTTTAGTTTTGAAACAATTAAAATACTAGTACTTTATATAATTAAGTCTAATTGATCATAAAGTCAAAGTTACAAAATTATCATAAAGACATATTCTTATATAGAAAAATTAAATTCTCAACATATTTTAAAGATGACGTCTTTTAGCTTTAGATTTTGTTTTCAGTGATATTACTCATCGGTTCATCTTCCTGCTGTTGATTAGTCTTCGTAGTATCTTCATGTCTGATATTGAGGTAAAAGCTCCTTATAACAGCAACAAGCATGAATACAATACCAAAGCCGAGAAGTATTAATGAGTATGGGACTCCAAAAGACATGTCTTTCCCATGTGTCGCTTTTTTGGAAGCGTTCGTGGCGATAAATCGAACCAAGACAGTGAACTCAGTTGTAACTATGAATGAAAAGCAAGTTCACATAAAAATAATATTATTTACGTTTTAAGCATACCTTAAATGCTATTGTTCTAAACGGTTTGAGCGTGTAGATTAATTATGGTTTTCTTCATTAGATAAATAATGTTCTACGGCTATTAATACTGATATCAAATACAGCAGGATTAGGGTAGAAAGTTGTTACCAGCCACAAGTAGAAAAATTCCCCCAGTCAGAGACGTCGATGGAATCGACACTTTCCTCTTGGTATTCCAAAAAAAGGATCGACCAACCGACTCCACCGAGCACGACAGCAAGTAGACTCTCTATCTGCACATCTATTATTGCTAAAGAAAACTATTGCTATTTTCAATACTGTTCTCTCCGTTTTTTTTAAGACTTCGATAAAATTCACATACATGTATATATACTTCCTCTATACGATATTATTTCAAAATACTTCTTTTCAAAATCGGAAGTAAATCAAATAACTACGTACCAAACTTTAAGAAGAAAAAAATATATATATATATATGAGAGAGAGAGAGAGAGAGAGAGAGAGAGAGAGAGAGAGAGAGAGAGAGAGAGAGAGACGAACAGAGCTGAAGCTCGCCATTGAGCTTATATTTCTCATCTAAAGCTACGTAAGAACTTATCGAACATTTGTCAGTTTCCTGGCGATCACAATCCCTGGCGTAAAAGATGCTAAATTGGCTAACCTATAAAATCGAATAGTATAAATTGCTATCATAAGGAAAATACATGATCGTTTCCTTTAATTGTTGCACAACAAATGACGTTTTTATTCTTATATTCAACAATCTAACGAGTCGGTTATTGTATAGAAATAGAGACAATTAGATGCTGTCATGAGACAGTAATACCCGCACTGAGGTGTTTGCCTCTAAATACACGCTCCTACATATTGGGCCGCTTTCCAAGGAAAAAGTCAAAATAATTCTATAATTTACATGTATTCATCAAATTAAGTATGAAATTCTCAGACGCTGTGACCTATAACTCAGAACCTCTTATATTTTTTTTATATGCTTAATTCATTATATACCAGTTTGAATTCTATTAATGATGTAAATTAGATTTTGATAAATGTTTTGCTCATAATAGGACCTTTTTAAATTTACTAATCCCCTCCCTCGACACCACAATCACACAGCACATACTTTTTGGAATAGGCTAGATGGAAAAGTTTTGTTAAAACATCGTTTGTTATGAATTAATGTAAAATTTGTTCTTGTACTATACATGTTAACATGTAAATTTCTACATCACATCACGTTGCGTCACCCATTATCATATTTTTAGATTAAACACCATTTGGCACACCTCGGCCGATTCCCACTTCATCTGATAAGGTGACGGAATCGACGAAGGTTTACCGAATGGAATTAGCACATGGCTGCAGTCTGGTGTGCATTGGATTAATTCATTTTGTGTTATAATTTTGGATTTATATTTCATGAAGTTGACGAGACCTATGGCAGTCGGTTAGTACAAGTTTAAGTATAGTGGGGGGTAAAATAAACCCAAACGATTAGGTTAAAGTTCAAAAAGGGTCAAAGATCATCGCATGCCACACTACACGAATTTCATATTGTGAAGTTATCTCCCATTGTCGATGTGACATTCAGTTACTGCCAATACTGGTGCGGATCCAGAATTTTTGTCGGGAGTAGGGAGGGGGGTTCACATCTCAGTCAAAAAATTCCAGCCCAGAATTTCCTGACAAGCAGAAGAAAAAAAAACTGAAAACAAATAAACAAAATAAAAACAATGATAGTGTGGTCAATGTTTTCTAAGTTAGGGGGAGGATGTCCAAAGTCATTTTTTATTTGCTTCAGTATATAGTCTTGTTTAAATAACAAAGCAAATTCCTGGGGGTGGTTGGGGGGGGGGGGGGTTCCAATCTCCCTACCCACTCCCTGTCCCTGAAATAACAATCTATTTTGTGATTCCAATTAAATAGTATATTTTTTTCCATTTGACTAATTATACATATTTTGTTTCTTGTGTTTATATTATGTCTATCTACTTGTCTGCAGAAATTATAACCTTGCCCATAAGTTTTAAGTGGGCTATACAAATGGCTTCCACATTTTATAGGTTTATTTCTTGTGACAAGACCTTTTATTTGGGTACCATTAATTTTTACCTCTGATCACTTGACCTAGCTAGGATACACATTTTTACAAGAAAAATACCAAACTTTAAACTTGGCCTAAAGAGTTAAATCCACGAACCATAAAATATGGCCTCATCCCAAAAATTAACATGATTTTTATTATCGATAGTGTAGACTTTAAGCTCTTCATAACCGTTTTTTTTTTTCGATATCTATTTTACTTTTTCAAAACGAGATCTTGTAATATGGTATTGTTTAAATGGAAAAATGCATTAGGAACGTCATTTTTTGTAATATAACGTCACGTAAAAAGGCGATAGAGATGACTGTAGGATTATAATGCACCTATTTATTAAAGTTTCTTAGACACATAATTGAAGTAATTTTTTTTCTCAAATGTTCTGTTTAAGTCACAACTTATTATTGAATTGTTTCAAGAGTGAAGAATTCTTATTAGCCAAAGGCATAAGATTGATACGGCGCCGTTGTTTTAGGAAGAACTTATTCTCTATAATCACATCTTGTTTCCAACAAATGCTAGAAAATCACAGTAGCACAATGTCGGCAGTTCTGATAAAAACTGATTTTGATGAAATTGTACGTGTATTTTATAAAACCTAGTTAACAATAAAAAAAATTATTTGATTTATCATCTTATTTAAAGATCATTTTAATCGGCGCGATTAAATTGGGTAGGTCTCGTTATAGAGGAAACAAAGGTATTTTTTTTATTTTGGCCTCGGCAAAAAAATAATAATTTTTAGATAATGTAAAAAATTCCATGTTCGCAGGTATTTTAAAGCATAATTTTTAAAAGCTAGAAAATGCACTTGTATAGGCTTTTCACATGTCCAATCAACGTATTTAGGGGGGAAATCGATCAAAAGGAAAAGGGCATTAAAAATATTTTGAAGTGAATTATCATTTATCTTACTACGCAGAGAGAGAGAGAGAGTTCGTAAAACAAAAAACAAAAAAAAAAAAAAAAAACCCAAAAAAAAAAAAAAAAAAAAAAAAAAAAATACACGAGTGAATTTCAAGAATTATTGAATTCCTATACGAAGATGATCATATTAACTTGTTTGGCATGAATAAACAGGATTTTGCCCAAACTGAAAGCTATATCAATGCAATCGCTCTGTTTACAGATTCCATTGTGTCTTAACGAATTTATAGTGAGCCATTTCAAATATAACTCGTAAGTTTAGTGGAATAACCTGTCATATAATTTAATCAAGAATCTATGCTTATATTTTGCCGGTCTCTTCTCTAGCACGAAACAAGAGGGGTTTTAAGGGTCAGTTATTCATTTTTTTTTTACTTAAGACGCCCCGCTTTCTCATTCAAATAATACAATTACCTCCTTAGCTGTTATGGCTAAGCCGGGATTTTACAGTGAAGTATACGATTTTATTTATTCAATATCATGTGTATATTGAAAGTCTCTTTCCAAAAAAAACTTTTATGAGTATTTATACAGACTATGCTTTACGACTTTAGGTATAATATGACAATGTTATGATTTGAAAAGGTAAAATTCTGCATTTAAAAAAGTGCGAGAAAGCAGTTATATGAAGATTCATTCTTTGTCCCCCCCCCTCCCAAACACACTTGGTGAGAAACAAACAATCTCCGTAGCAGATCAAGTGGGAGTTCAGACAGATTTCAGAGTAATTAAAAGTAAAGTATAAAATACCATACCAGCACACCCAAAGGATACACAGGTCCTCTGCATTTGGTAAGAAGAATAGTGAATATATACTAGGGATGACAATTTGTAACCGGTTAATTGATTAATCGGTCGGAACGTTGCTAACCCGTTAGAAAATCCGTACTAATTGGTAAGT